TGAATATCCTTCTAAAATAGTAGATTCGCAGCTGAGCACGGGTAGGAGGTTATCCATTGGAACATGGGTAAGACAAACGCCCCATGTCTTTTCTCATATGTGAATCCTAGCTATGAATTTTTAGAGTAGTTCTATACAAAAATAATTGTAAAGGATACCTACCAAAAGGTGATAGTAATGACTGGAGACTATTTTTCTTCTTATTTACATCTGCCTTATCCTTTGTAACAATATATTAACTTCAAATTAAAAAAAACAAAAACAAAAAAAGTTGAACAGCCTGTTTTTAAAGCTGTTCGATCTTGTCCATTGTTAGTTCTTTTATCATGCAAACACTACTGCTAACATGCATGTTTCTAGTACATACCCTCAAAAGAAAGTAAATTCCACAACTGGATAAATTAAAGTAAGCTTCTCTTTGACTATGAACAATCTTTTAGCCTGACTGAACCCCGAGAGCCCCTGGGTACTGTAACTACCTATCTAACTCATTCACTCAGTGGTACAGCCCTAAGAATAAGACCCTGAGAGATTCTACAGCCATTTGTGACCTATCTTTAAAACTTCTATAAATGGGCTTGCAAGATGAATCAGAGAGTAAAGGCACTTGCTGCCAAGTCTGATGACTTGAGTTCAATCCCAGGGACCCATATGGTAGAAGAGAGAGGTAACCCTTTGACCTTACACACATACAGGTGAGCCCCCCAACACACAAATAAACAAATGTAATTTTTTAAAACTTCTATAAACTTCTATTTTAAAGCCTTTAAGTATAGCTCAATATATTATGGCTTTTTTACTTCAAATATGTTAAAACTGTGTTTATTGAAACTCCTCCACAAGTCAAACATCAATGAAAAGTATAACCCTAATAAATTATTGAATTTATTTTAAGCCATGCTGTTTTCAAGGAATCCAGGCCAAGGCTCAGATGCTAAGCCCGAGTCACAGTAAGTGGCCAGGCTGACTAGCTGAGTCCAAGTCATGGTGCAGGTCGCTGGGGTGATTAGCTCAGGGGCAGATGAGAAATATGTTAGAAGAATCACCCCAGAAAAACAGGAGAGAACTTTTGTTCCCAGGGGTTCAGAAGAGCAAGGACAGTATCCATCCACAGCAGTATACCTCACAGGAACAGGGCAGCATCCGTAGGAGTTGCTGTAGGTACAGAAGCCGTCCTGCCATCTTGCCCTCCCAGGCACATACTCAGAACCTCTAACTCTGCATCCAGGGGAAACTACATTCCTAACCCATGATTCCTGGCACACCAAACAAAATAAAATTTGAAAATTAAAATTCTTTATAAGGAATAAAGATACTAGGGTAAGAAAGGAGATCTTGGAAATAAGGAATATTTATACCAGATAGAGTCTAAACACTCTTTCATTCTTAATGTCAAAAATGGAAAAAGATGAGAATCAGACATAATTGGTATCAAGTATGTTCACCAAAGGTTTAATATAACATGAGTGAATCTTGCTTGTCTTGGGAGAAAAATTAAAGTTGGGTTTTTGTAGATTTATCCTTAAAAGTGGCAAAATAAAAGTTCTAATTTAAAAGAAACACATAGACATCTCTTTTTAGGATTTATTTTCATTTTTAATTATGTGCACCTGTGTGTCTATGTGGAGGTATGTGCATGTGTGTGCAGGTGCCTGTGGTGGCCTGAAGAGGGCACTGGATCCCCTAAACTGGAGTTATAGGTGGTTATGAGCTGCCTAGCATGGTTCTGGGAATCAAACATGGGTTCTCTGCCAGAGCAGCAAGCGCTCTTAACTTCTGGGCCATCTCTGCAGCCCCCATAGACATCACTTAAGTATTGCCATGGTAGAAATATGAAAACCTCTAAAAGAGCAATTGTACAAGTATGGTACAGGTTTAACTAGAGAAGAAGGTCATGCTGGCTGGAAATAATGACACACCAAGTTGTCAATCAGACCTTCTACCAACATTAGATTCCCTCACAGTTCTTCCATGACTAGTGACAGAAATTGTTTTCCTCTGTTTTCAGATTTATCAAAAGCATCTTAATGCAAGCAATGGGGGAAAGGAGTGGGCAAATATCAGCACCCATCTCCCAGACAGTTTCCTGCCTGCCTTATGTATTACAGCCTATAAATATAGCTGCCCTCTTTCAACCCAATCCCACTGCCTTCCGGCTCTGCCTTCTCCCGAAAAGTAACAGTGAGACACTGCCAGGCAGGACATCTGTGACTCAGGAGGAGATAAGTTTGTCACTTAATATCAGAGGTTTCCAGAATCCCCAGCCTTTGTCTCACACCAGCTCCCTTTTGTAAGCTCAGCCTACATTTCTAGAATAAATCCTAAATATAGAATACTAATATAGAACTTTAGGCCTGCAATCTGGAACTCTCTGTCTCCTGGGTCCTTTTTCCAGTGTCCCCACTGCATGATGAATGCCTGTCAGGAACTCCAGCTGTCGATTTTCAATATCTACATTTTTCAAGTCTGACAATTCACTGGTGAGCCTGGTTTGCACTTACTCATATTACACCCTCAGCCTACTATGTGTCAGATGTGAATTATAGCAAGGAAGGAACTGATGTCAAAAGCAAAGGTGAACTCCATAAACAAGTAATTATGATGTCATACATACAGAGCTCTGCATAAGAATAAGCTCCCCCACTAAAGCATATTCATATAACACAAGAGAATAGCAGGATCTGTCTTGGAGAGCAGAAGCCCACATGGGGGAAGTGACACAGAATGAAATGGAAAACTCTAGACAGTTGGAACAGCAGCTGATAGGAAAACAGAACATGCTGGACAGCTTTAGTTGTCAACTGGACACACCTGGGTTGAGGGAGCCTCAATTGGATGACTGCCTCCATTGGACTGGCTTGTGGTCATGTCTGTGGGACAGTTTCTTGACTGTTGAGTGATAATTGAGGGCCCAGCCCACTATGAGTGGACCCACCCCTGGGCTGTATTATATAAGAAAGCAGGCTAAGCATGGACCAAAGGAACAAGCAAGTAAGCAGCATTCCTTCATGGTCTGTGCTCTTGTGCTCAAGTTCCTACTTTAGGCTTCCTCAGTAATAAACTGTATGACAGCAGATATGGAAGATAAAATAAACCTTTCCTCCCCAAGTTGGTTTTGGTCACTGTTTTCATCACAGCCATAAGAAAGAAACTAAGACACAGAATTATTAGAAAAGGGTACATTTGGGGGAATGATGAGTGTAGATGACTATCAGAGCCAGATTAATGAGTAAGTCAACCAGCAGCTTCAGGTCATGTGACGGGTCCTGGAGCTGTAATGAAACTGGCGGCGGGGGGGGGGGGGGGGGATTTTTCAAGCTTCTCATTTAGAAAGGGCGGGGGGGAGAATTGGTCCGCACAGGGACCCTGAACGGAGGGGCCACAGCACAG